TTTTATCAACCGATTCGCAATGCTGCCGCCACCGATGGGAAAACGTCGAAATTAGACGCCTGATTGTTAAGATTTTATAATATTCAGCACTTGTAATATACAGACCATGTACTTAATATATTTAGAGGAAGCAATAGGCCTCCAATGTTACTGGCCTACATATTTGGTACAACTGTCGGTTTTTGTGCCATTTGGACTGTCACCGGGTATATTTCACTCACTAATCCATCAAAATCCAGCACTATCAGTTTTATTGAATACTACTTTTGACGGGCAACTCGCTATAAAAAAAGATATATTTTTATACCCTTAGTTTGAAATGAAGTTTGTAACACCCAGAAGGAAGGGTCGGAAACCCTATAAAGTATGTCGAGCTGAGTCGATATAGCCATGTCCATCCGTCTGTCTGTCCGACCGTCTGTCTGTATATATACGAACCAGTCCCTCAGTTTTTAAGATATCTTGAAATTAAATTTTGCAAACGTCATTTTCTCTTCAAGAAGCTGCTCATTTGTCGGAACCGCCGATATCGGACCACTATATCATATAGCTGCCATACAAACTGAACGATCGGTATCAAGTTCTTGTATGGAAAGCTTTCACATTTGACGTGGTATCTTCACGAAATTCGGCATGGATTACTGCTGAAAGTGCAACCGAAGTTAAAGTTTTTTCTTGTTTTTTTTTCAACATTTTAACGAACATTGGGTTTATCATCCATATTTCAATTTTCACTATATTTTAGTCTTTCTTAGCCGTTATTAGGCTCCCGGGCGCAGAAACACCGAAGTCCTCCACTACTTCGATTCTATATCACATAATCTATATCACTGCATCACGGAACCGACTCCTGACGGTTTCTTCTCTACCCACACATCTGCTGGGGATTTGAGAGCGGGGCTAAGCCGTTGAAGAAGAGGTGTAATGAGTTTTATTCAACCGATTGAAGGAAAGTCGGTTTTCCGATGTTCTCTTGTGTTCCAGCGCTGGACGTATGGACCTCCGGTGAGCTCAGCAAGCGCTGGTGAACGACCAGAACTGGTATGGCTTCGAAATTTTTCTTGCCCAGAGTGAACCGGATCTCTGAACTACTTTCACTCAGCAAAGTCAATTTCGCCGCACTTTTATGTGTTCTCTTTGCTAAGGCTGTGTGGAGGAGGGCGAGGCGTCCTTTTCCTCCTTTTACCTGGCTTTCGACGGACTCATTTTGAAATATGTCGGTAGATACCTAAATTTTGAACCAACCCAGCGATCTAAAAAGATTTTTGTGGACATTTTAAACAAGTGGAAACCATGTTTTTTATTTTTAGGAATACTCAAGAAAACAATTCAATTACGGTTGCCGTATTTATAGCTTGAAAGGAGCTTGGATTTGGTAGATTTCACAAATATTTCTAAAGAAATTAATAAAATTCAACTTAAATTGTGAGGGTTGTCTCTAACAAGTTGAATATGTTTGCACTTTCTGTGCTTCTTCTTCACAATTTTCACTTTCTTACAGGGCAAGGAGCCACTCTTAAGTCTCTGTAACTCAAGCACACATGTTTTGTGTCCAGATACATATGCATGTTGATGCTGAAAGTGAATTTTAGCCAACTTCGGCTTTTGCTTTATTACGAAACTTTTCGTCTGACCTCAATACCGAGCATTCTAATCTCATTTCATTGTGCGCACACAATCAACAAACTGCAAATAAAGTGTTTATATTTACGACACAGACACTGCCACATAGCTGCCTTACGTTGCGGTATGTGTAAGTACGTGTGTGTTTGTGTATTCTGTGTATGATTTCTGTTTGACTTGTGCTCACATTAGCTTTCAGACATTTACTTTTACACATTTGCAGCTTTCGCCACAGATTTTTCTTCGCCGCCACAAGCGTGGCAAAGAAGACTGAGGCTGAGGCTGAGTTGCAGCCATAACTTTTATTTGAATTCGTATGCATTCTGCATTTGTTGTGCAACTTAGCGGCGCATATGCTTGCATGTTTTCTGTTTGCTTGTGGCTGTGTGCGAAATATGGCATGAAAAGCCGCCTGCCACTTACTACTTGCCACTTGCAACAAGCTGCAGCTTGTTCATATAAAATGCAAATGCATCGGTAGCTTTTCTTTATTACAAAACAGACACACACACATACATACACAGAAAGGCGAAGTTTTTATATTTTCTTTACTCAATCCTGCGCCTCTCGTTGTTTGCCTTGTTGTTGTTTTGTTGCACTTTTTGGTGGCAAGCGTAAGTTGTGCCGCGCCCGCTGAAAGCAGCGCCGTGCACCTGCTATAAATTTCTTCGGCGACAGCTTCTTCAAGAGCGAAGTTTCCATTGCTCCCCAACTCCTCTCTCTCTCTCTGCCGGCTGCTTGCCTTGTTTGGTTGCACAGTGATATGCTCACGTTTACTTTTTCTTGATTTTTCGCTTGGGCTGTTTGCTTTTGCCGTATTTTTAATTCATATTTTCCATTTTATTTTATATTTCCCTCATTTTTTTCTGAACTTTTGTGCGAGTTTACAATTTTTCTTTTACTTACTTATGTACTTAACTTTTCGCATATTTGCTCGCTCTTTCACGTTGTTGTTCTGTTTTTGCTGTTGCTGCTGCTGCTGTTGTTTAGCTGTTTGTTGTTGCCTGTTGCACTTTGTTGAACTTTGCCATTGTGTTGTTTGTGTTAGTGTGGCTGTGTATATGTGCGTATGTGTGTGTATGCTTGTAGCGTTAAAACTGCAAAGATGATTCGCTTTGTTTGCTCTGCACTTAGAAACTTTCAATTGAATTGCAGGCAGCAAGTATTCTTGACACATTACCCCTCGCCCTTATATTGCCATTGTCTTTGGTTACTTTGCTCTTTCATTTAGCTGCGCTTTTCAGTCAAGTGTTTGCTATTGAAATGCAATATGTGAATTTATAAGTGCATGCGTATATGTGTGTGTGTGCTTGCTTCCATTTTTATATCGTTGCTGTTGTTGCAGCCGAAAGGTGAGTAGTTACTAGTTTGAAACAATGTTCGAGAGTTCAAACGAAGGCAGATGTCACTTAGTAGAATATAAAATTTTAAGTTTTCCTTTTCTCAGTTCACAAATATTTGTGATTTTTCGTAAGGATCTTGCAAACAAAAGTATATATGCAATTTGTAAAACAACTTTTATAGTAAATATTTCAGGGAACAGAATTAAGTTATTTATTTATGTAGATATAATTTACTTAGATTAAATTGCAATGGCTAACTAAAAAGTAAAATTTCTTGAAATCATCTCCTTCTTCTTGATTGGCGTAGACACCGCTTACGCGATTATAGCCGAGTTAACAACAGCGCGCCAGTCGTTTCTTCTTTTCGCTACGTGGCGCCAATTAGATATTCCAAGTGAAGCCAGGTCCTTCTCCACTTGGTCCTTCCAACGGAATGGAGGTCTTCCTCTTCCTCTGCTTCCCCCGGCGGGTACTGCGTCGAATACTTTCAGACCTGGAGTGCTTTCGTCCATCCGGACAACATGACCTAGCCAGCGTAGCCGCTGTCTTTTAATTCGCTGAACTATGTCAATGTCGTCGTATATCTCATACAGCTCATCGTTCCATCGAATGCGATATTCGCCGTGGCCAACGCGCAAAGGAACATAAATCTTTTGCAGAACTTTTCTCTCGAAAACTCGCAACGTCGACTCATCAGTTGTTGTCATCGTCCAAGCCTCTGCACCATATAGCAGGACGGGTATTATGAGTGACTTATAGAGTTTGGTTTTTGTTTGTCGAGAGAGGACTTTGCTTCTCAATTGCCTACTCAGTCCGAAGTAGCACCTGTTGGCAAGAGTTATCCTGCGTTGGATTTCTAGGCTGACATTGTTGGTGGTGTTTACGCTGGTTCCAAGATAGACTTCAAAGTTATGACTGTCAATAGTGACGTGAGTGCCAAGTCGCGAGTGCGACGACTGTTTGTTTGATGACAGGAGATATTTCGTCTTGACATGACTCCATCCTCCAAAATCATCTTAATCCATAGAAATCATTAAAAAATAAATTTTTAGTTCCCAAATGGTTTTCCTGTTCCACCTTAATGTCAATTTCAATCTCAATATAGTCTCAATCCCAAATTCAACTTACGTGCCAAGCCCAGCTCCAATCTCTTTCTCAGTCTCAATCTTAATATCAATATCAATATAAATATCAAAATCAGTATCAATATCAGTATCAATATCAATATCAATATCAATATCAATATCAATCTCAATATTAATATCAGTATTGATATCAATATCAATATCAATATCAATAGCAATATCAATAGCAATATCAATATCACTATCACTATCAATATCAATATCAATATCAATATCAATATCAATATCAATATCAATATCAATATCAATATCAATATCAATATCAATATCAATATCAATATCAATATCAGTATCAATATCAATATCAATATCAATATCAATATCAGTATCAATATCAATATCAATATCAGTATCAATATCAATATCAATATCAGTATCAATCTCAATATCAGTATTATTTAATCCCAGTCTTATCCCCAAGCCCAATTATATTGGGAATAATATTTGATTTTTAATCACAATTTGCATCTCAATATATCAGTCCCTAAATACAAGTCTTTCCCTTAACCCCTATGCCAAGTTCATAAGCCTTCTCCATCTCAATATGAATCTCCTTTTCGTTACCAATCTCAATATCAGTCGCAACTTCAATATCTACCTTAGCCTAAACCTTAATCGCAATTTAAATCTCTTCAAGTTATGCACAAATGCCAGTCTTACTGGCAAACAAAATTGAGTATAATTCAATTGACAACTGTCAGAGAGACGAATTAAGGAAAAAATATTTCCTCTTTGGAAACCACACATCTGAAAACCCTATTGTCCATTATAAATAAATCGCAGAGACGTCTCAAACAAAGTTTATTTCAATTAAATTATAATTAGTTACTTAAAAAATCACATAATATTACACTAATATTGTGAGCGTAAAATTTAATTCTGCCTCCTCGCCCTTAATTTTGCATGGTCAGCGATACCATTAATGAAACTAAATTGGCATTTCGTGCCTCCCACGGTACGGTCATATCGTAAAAGTACCGTTGTATGAAAGTCCACACATTCTCACACATCGTTGGGTACTTGAGATTGCATGTGTGGTAAATCTTGAAACACAAGTCGAGCGCTTGCAAGAATGATTGCATGCAATAGAAGTGATTCTCCAAAGCAACGTAGATTTTCGAAATAGTGCATTCATTGGGCATAATTACCACCAGAAAAGGGTGTGTGGTGCGATTGACCGGTCCATATTTGCGATTATACAGATCCAAGCGTGATTCGTATGATTCGAGCGTATTGAGACGCATCACAAATGCATCAATGCTGTCAGTCAGATTGGCGCGTATGCTCAACTTACCATAGTGATCCTTGAAGCGGCTCGTACAGGGCAGCAGCGCAGTCAAACCAACGGCGTAAATGAAGTCCTTTTCGTCTGAAATGTGTGAGAGAGTTGAATTGAAAGTGATTAAATGTGTATGTGTTAATGAGATCCATAAGGAGAGATATTATTATAAAGGGTATATCGACTCCATTCACAATATTTCCATGTCTGTGAAAGATTTTGCAATTATTATATTTATTATATGGCAATGATAGAGAAATAAAGAATTATTTATATCAAACAGGCGGCAACCTATAACACAAAAATATTTAAAGCTATATTTCTTTTCACTTTAAATTTTATCGAATTGTAAATTTTTAGTATTTAAATGATTTTTATCAGGTGGCAACGCTCAATAAAAAAATTAAATCAAAATTTTTTAATTTTTCTTTTCATTTTCAATCTTATCGAATTTTGCTTATACATTTTTCTTATTTAAAAAATTTTAGTCAGGTGGCAACGCTCAATAAAATAAAATGATTTAGTTTTTTTTCAGTTTCATTCAAATCGAGTTGTTCTTATAAATTTTTCATATTTCAAAGCTTTTAGTCAGGTGGCAACCTTTCTGGAAATTATTTTTATTATTTCTATTTTATTCTAAATTTTCAATTATAATGGAGTATTCTTATCAAATTTTTTTAATTAAATTATTTAATAAAGGTGACAACCTTCAGTTTTTTTCGAAGAGATTACAGAGTAGAAACAAAATTTTTATGAAAATCAAGAAAAACTCAAATTATTCTATCGATTCGCCATTTTTAGTGGTGATACCACGTATACTGTGAGCGTGATGGTAATTTGTTGCATAACGCAATTTCGTTGCACTTACTTCACTTAATATATTTTTTGGTTCAACTTGAATCGTATCGAATAAAGACGTGAACAGCGGATCAACTTTCGCCCTTTTCTACGCAAAAGCTGCGTTCAATATTTTCCTTGATACCTTCCCATAACTGTCTTTAACTCCCTTCTTTACATACCTTTACTTGCCATGCCCATTTTGCAGTACTTGTATAATTTTTTGATGTCGTCATGGTGGAGCTTCTTATCAAATTGCGGTGTCACCTTCTTCATGTAGTCATCCCACTTGGACACCAGTAGGTTTTCCTTATCTGGATAGACGTGACGAAAATCGATTTTATACTGCAAGCAAATTACTTTACAAAACGCACTCAAACAAAACACTTCACGCGACGGTCGCACATACCAACTCGGCCGCACGTGGATCGGCCAGCTTTGACCAGTTGGTCAGCAGTTCAGCCAAACCGCTCTGTTGTAATTCCTTCTGCCGCAGCGCCCAAGTCTGAATCCATTTATCACACACTTCCTCCCAGCTAAAATGGTCCGTAGTCAGTAGTTGTTTCAGGGCCAGCGCCGTCATCTCGTCCACACGTGGCACATGGCCGGGCAAGTCTTGCGGATACGTGGACATGGTGTCATCATCGTCCATTAAACTGCTGCCGGTGATCATCGGTTGTGTCATATCAACGTCAAACGTACAATCCTCATCATCGCTGAGACGTATCATGCGGCGACGCTTGACATTCTCATTGGAGTAGCGCTGATAGAGCCGACCCAGCGGGTTGCCTTTACCGCCGCGATAAATAAAGTAGTAATCCTGCAATCACAACGAGATAAAAGAGGGTTCGTAAATTCTGAAGTATGTGTTAGCATATTTTTCAAGAGCACTCACACACTCCCACTCCTAAATGCAAATGGACTATATGTACATATATGTGTACTTACCGCTGCGGCTTGTTCATTGGGGAATATTGTTATGATGTCACTTAAAATCGCACGCAGATCCTTCGGGCTCAGAGACTCCCCCTGACGCATTACATCCGAGACAATGAGGCGCACGATTTCATTGCGCTGGCTATTTTCCAAGTAGCCGTTTTTGTTGTAAAACTGCTTAATGCGCTGCCCGATGTGCGAGCTTTGCAATACCTTACCGGTATCCTGCAAAGAAAAAAATTTTACACAAAAATTGTCGGATAAACATAAAGCAAATGTCATAAAATTTTATGAAAATACCAGTCAAGCTCTTTAAAAACCCACCTCCCTCCCTTGCCACGCATGTCTACCTACCACTTTGGGGCATTGCATAATCAATGGTCCCTTAGGCGCATAGCCATCGCCGATGCTGCAACTTCCGCCGCCACCCACACCTATAACAATGTCTGTGTTTGCCGCTCTGTTGCCATTTGCATCGCCAMCACCGGTGCCACCACTGCCGCTGCCACTCGCCATCATAAACTGCTCCTCGGCATTTATGGTCTTTATCATCGCGGCTCTAGTCGTCATTGCGGCTACTGTCGATGCGGTCGTTGTTGTTGTCACTGGCCCCGCCGCCGCAGCAGTTATCGTTGCCATTGCGTGTCGTTTAGGTGATTTGGCATTTTGTGGCATGAAGCTGAACGCGCCGCGTAAATCTAATGTCGGCTCCAGCAAAACAGCTGGCATATTATGGTCCATACGCGCTGTGGCGCTGCTTACGCCTGGGAGCAGGCTTAGAAAATCCTCAGCTGGTGCCCTGTTGCGTTTGATAATGGTGGCAGAGCCGGTTGTTGCTGCGGTGGATATTGCGGCGGCGGTGGTGCCGGTGGTTGTAGTGGCTGTGTAGCTCGGTATAACGGTGAGTGTTGCTATGGCATTATTGGTTGCCATATTAGCTGGGATTGCTTGCAAGCCGCTCGCCGCAGTTTGTAGTTGTTGCAGTGACTGCATGGAAATCGCAGGCGCGACAATGGATGTGGGTGGTTTTTTGACTGCCGCATTAATGGATGCAGCCGTGTGCCGAGGGGAGACTTCCCGCGCTGTGCTACTATTGTCTGCTGTCGGAAACTGATATGTGAGAAAGATAAACAAAGTGAATATTTCATCGCTCGAAGTCTTATGAAACCTTGATTCACCTTTTCTTTGCACCATGCGAAGAGTTTTTCCCGGAACTCAGCACGATAGCCGATGTGGCGTATGGCAGTGTCTATGTCGTTCGCTGTGAGATATTTTAAGCTGCGAAAAGTGATGTCATTCACTGGACAAAGGTAAAAACAGAAAAAGGAAAGTTTCAGAAACTATGTTTTGGTGTAATTTCGTACATTTATTAGTGAAGTCTAACTCGGTATTTACGATGTTACAATATTAATGCGGCATTTTATTTGTATTTTCAGACTGGGTAATTTTATTGCATTTAAGATTCAGGACAGCTTATAATCGGGTTGAATATTTGTTGGTATTCTTTGAGTTTTATTTTGTTTGTGTATTGAATTTCACCATTATATGGCAAATAACGATCTTTATATACATCTGAATAATGGAATACTAAATAAATTTCAGTTTATGCTTGTATGATTGTAATTCGAACTCTCGGAACTCTCAATTCGCGAAAAAATATCCCATTAGCTATATTTCGGTAAGTAAGTCAACAGAGCATGCTGAACCACATAATGTCCAAGAATGCCTACTTAAGCCTTAAGTTAATGGTCAACTTTATCGACTTATTTTAGCTACCGATTAGCCGTGTGCTCAAGGACCTTGAAATTGAAAATTTTGGACACTTTTTAAAAATTTAAATAGTTATTAATTGTTTCTAGACAAAAATGAATTTTAAATTTCTGTTTCTACCAGCACACACGAAGCGATAATTTTTTCTTAGTATGACTAGATCAGACGTATTTTATTTACTATATTCTCTCATAATGTTTCCCGTGAGTGAAATGGGCCTTATCGTTTTGTAGAAGTTTTGTAGAGAAACGCCCGTCAAACTACCGGAAAAGTTGAAGTAACTTATCGAAATTATAATGAAGACCATCCACAATTTCAGCGCAAATGGAATGCGTACGTTCTTCTTAGAAAAGTATATGTTCTTTGATTCGTACTGCGCGAATAAACATTAAACTTATCATTCCTTTGATATTGACATTTCACGATGATTGAAACAAACGTACAAAAACAAAAACAAACAAAAAATAATAATAATGCAGTTCTAAGTGATTTGTCGGCAAGCTAAGACTTAGTGCAGATGTACAAACCTACTGAACACCTAAAAATTGATTAAGGGGTCATTAGGGTAATCGGGCCGTTTTTTGACATTTTTTTCATAGAAATTTGTATTCTACAATAGAACTTTTTTCACATATCATGAGGTATATCGTAGAGTGTGTAAAAAAATGTTTTCGAAATTTGTTGATGGCATCTGTCGGAGAAATGGCTGGATGAATGAGATGCCTTTTTTCACTGGCCGACACGATTTCTCATATTCGCATCATCTGAATCACAGAAACCCAATTTATTCTTAAAATGTACGTGAATGGTTATCGTCCCTACTAGAACCATAAAAATGTTGCTAAATAAAAAAGTAATTAAAATTTTTTCTAATTCTCCCCATGTTGTTTCACATAAATTTTGCCATAACATTGTAAATAGACTATGAATAATATAGCCAGGCCTCTTGTGAACATTAAAAAACAAAAAAAAAAATATTAAGCAAATCGATGGAATAGTTCGACCGGAATCATGTCCGCCAGTTTAAAAAGTGTGTTTTGAGAAAAACGCGTTTAAAGTTTGAGGTACTGAAAAGCATACAAAGATGGACATAAACGTTAAAAAATTTACATACCCCTAATTATTATTTTTTGTCCCTTTTCGAAACCTTCCAATGGTAAAGTGGGTTTCGACATTCACTCTAAGGGTATAAGGGAACAGAGTAAAGCGATATGTGAATAACATCGGCTAGTATCTACCAGGTTGTTGCCTATGCAAACGATGTAATAATCGTGGTCAAGAGAAAGTTGCTGAGTACCGCAACTAATTGAGTGGCTCAGATAGTTTTATTTATCAGAAGATACAGGATTCCGGAAGCATCTCTGTGGCCTACAGATACAGTGAAAAATTTTAGCCTTGGAAGCCTCTTAGATCATTAGATAAAGGTGAGGTTGCCGTACTCAAGCCTATTATATTACTCGAAAGCTCGAACTATGGCACTTAATACCCTTCTTCATATAGTGCCCATAGCTATAGTACGTAAGTATATGTATGGTCGCGAAGGATGCAGTCAGACTCTTAGAAACTTGCTTTTAAATTGAATATATGTATGTATGTCTGAGCGTTCGGAAAGACTCACAAGTTCGGACTTCATACCGGAACCGCAGACTATATGAGCTGTCTCTTATACACATCTAGATGTGTATAAGAGACAGGCCCATAGCTATAGTACGTAAGTATATGTATGGTCGCGAAGGATGCAGTCAGACTCTTAGAAACTTGCTTTTAAATTGAATATATGTATGTATGTCTGAGCGTTCGGAAAGACTCACAAGTTCGGACTTCATACCGGAACCGCAGACTATATGAGTAGTGTACTTTTTTCAGGTTGCTACCATGCTTTCAAAGATGGTTAAGAAATACCTCAACATGTTATCGGTGACACGGACTCAGTTTCTATAGCATAGTATGGGTGTCGGAAACTCAGGTAAATGCAAAGTTAGCCCCGCGAAGGACCAAGGAAGGATTTTACAAAGATGAAATTATTTGGCACGGACGGATCTTAAATCTACTAGTACCGTTCAGTTCAAATAGAATTTGAAATTTTGGTTAGAGTTTTTGATATCAACTCAATCCGTCAAAAGAAAATCTTTTGATACGTCAACAAATTACAATTTTTGGTGGTACTACGGCTTTCATCACTGTATCAGTAGGATTGACAAGAATAAAAAAAAGTTGCAACTGATACAAATCATTTGTAGCTGAACATTACTGAGTTTATTTATGAAAGAATATAGATACGGAAAACTATTTATAAACGTCGACTGTCGCCTTCTCAATCTACTGAAAATAAATTGCGAGCTGCAGAGCTTAATCGAGCATGGTACCTGCTTCTATAAATATGTACAGCTGCAGGCGTACGCTGATGACATTGATATCATTGGCCTCAGCAACCGAACGGTTAGTTCTGCTTTGCCCAGAATGGATGAGGAAGCGAAGCAAATGGAACAACTCTTGCCAACAGGTGCTACTTAGGACTAAGTAGGCAATTGAGAAGTAAAGTCTTCTCTTGACGAACGAAAACCAAACTTCATAAGTCACTTATTGAGTTATAAGAGTTATACGACGACATTGTCATAGTTAAGCGAATTAAGAGGCAGGGGCTGCGCTGGCTATATCATGTCAGAGGGGAAGACATCCACTCCGTCTGAAAGACCATGTGAAGAAAGATCTGGCCTCGCTAATACTCTCTAATTGGCGCCACTCATCGAAAAGGCAGATCGACTGGTGCGCTGTTATAAACTCGACTATAGCCGCGTAAGCGGTGTCTACTCCAATAAAGAAGAAGAATATAAAACACCAGAATATAAACAACATTGAAACTGCGACTGAAAAAAGTTGAAATTCGTGATACCAAAACATAGTCATCTGAAGTTACAAGGCTTTCAATTCAACTGAGTGGTGTTAAAACCGTAAATCCGTAATAACGCAAACAATTTTATATTCTTTAATAGCCTCAAAATGATAAAATGTGCATATGCACATATGCATTTCATAGACATGTGCCGTTAAGTACCAACAATAATCATTTCACTAACAACCTACTCAACATGCATACCGTTATATACGACTGTTCACATTTCCAACGCATTCCGTTGCCCTGTTGCACGCAATGGATTTCGGTTGTAAACAAAAGACTCTCACATGCGCGCACTACATTACCTCACTCACTCTCTCTCTCTCTCTTTTGGAGTGTATAACAGTTAACGCTAAGTGCCGCAGAGTGCCACACACACACACGCAGAGCACTGCTATCTCGTAACGGCACTCGTATAGCAGGAATTAAGCGAAATCGCGTGAATGCTAAGCGGCTAAGGAGCGCACCAACACACCCACCACAACACACAACAGAAGGTAAGTGAGCGACGCAGCACAACAACGCCGGCGCAAACAATAACAGAGTCACCACTACACTCTCCCCAAGTAATGCGCCACATAAACACACGCACACAATGTTGCCGTGCTTTGGCAAGCCTGAGCGCGGCACTGCCTGTCTGTATGTATACATATATGATGGGGCGGTGGTTGGCTGGCACATGCCAAAGGCAAAACGAAATGCAAAGGCATGATAAGAGCAAAGGCAAAAATAGCAAATATTGGCATGAGCGAATTTTTTTCATGCTTTTGCAAACAAGCAAGCAAACAAACACACGCACAAGCATACGTATGTACATATATATGTATGCATATGATTTAGTATACATATGTTTGTCTGTTTGTGCACATATTTAGACTTCAATAAAAAATTGCAAACACACTCATGCACGCATAGTATTTAGCAGCATTTTTTTTTTCAGGTAAGTATGTGTGCATGTTTATGCGCGCGTGTGTGTGTATGTTTGTATTTAAGCCTGTTGTATTGTTATGGTTTTTATGTGCATTTTTTTTGTTTTAGTTATTGTTGGGCTTCTTCATTCCTTTATTTTTCCTCTCGCTTTTATGGCGAAAAGGCGGTGTTTAGGCGAGTGAGTAGATAAAGTTAGCGTTGGGTATATACATATATCTACATACATATGTATATATGTAGCCGAATGGATGATAAGTATGTACATATTTGAGGTTTTTTTCAAATGCTAATGCCTACGTTGGGGCAGATGTTTGTAAATATTTTTGCAGACATATACATACGTACATATGAACAACTTTATAAGCAGCTTGCTGTAATTGTATATCCATAATATATGTATGTATGTAATTGGATATAAGATACTTTTATACCCTGAACAGGGTATACGACGCTTGCCACAATGTTTTTAACACCCAGAAGGAAAAATTGGGGATCCTATAGACTAAATATATATGTATGTACATCTACCCAAAATACAGTTCATTTGTTGAACCAACAGTGGTATAGCTTTTATACATATTGGACAACAATAAACTTGTCATCGATTATTCTATAAGACAACGTTGCAATCTTCGATGAATTTGCTCAATTGTTCACATTGGCACATTGGATAACTAAAGCTAGTTCCCATGCTATCTGCACAAATCAGGGTTTTGTAAGGAATCTCTTCTACTTGTGAAGGGTATTAAAGCTTCGGTGCAAGCGAAGTTAACTTTTTTCTTACCTTTATGCATACTTTCAGGGGTATGGGTATACATACTATTACATATACATATGTATGTATATACAAATTGCATATACGTACTTACATATGTGTTCAACTTTCTAAGGGATATCTATAATGTATGGCATGCAGTGCTCAGCATGTTATAGTTGATGCAAATATATGCGCGTTTATGTACTATAGATACTACTGTGGGCAAAAAATAGTAAGACTTTTACATTTAAAAACATCCGAAAACCCATTCGACCAAATATATTTTTTCTGGGCTGGTTGTCACAGTAAAACCATCATTCGTGTTGAGTTTACATTTGTCTTTATGAAGTGAGATTATTCAGCAAAGAAATTGCATGAAATTTTTGTGTGTAAATAAATAACAACTGGTGCCGAAATGTTCAGAATGTTGGAAAAAGCCTTCAGTGATAATTGTTAGGTATACTAGAGTGTTTTTGATTGGTACAAATTATTCCAAGCGGGTCGACGACGCGTGGACGACGAATCACATCTAGAACGGCTATCAATATAAACTGATAATCAAAACATGAATTAAATAAAGGAATTGGTGCTTGGGAATCGACGATTAACAGTCAGAGATTTTACCGGCATCGTTGGAATATCGGAAGGAAGGAGGATATCGTAGATACCGGGAATATTAGAAGTAAAGGAAATAAGTATATACATATATACATACATATATGTATGTACATAAGCTAGGTTGCTTTAAACTGTTCTTGACAAAAAATATATATAAATACATACATATATACAAATGTAAAGATATGTATAGATAACAAAATTGCAAATGAGACATTTTTCCATGATGTACATAGGCATTTTTTATAGCACAAAATTAATTTGTTGCAATATTAGTCAGCATGCCTGTATGTATGTGTAAAAGCAGCGGATTTCTGTGAACCACTTACATTTAAGCGTTGTATATAATATCTCCAAATCGAACTGCTTCAGCAGCTTCATTAAACTAACGTCATCACTCTCACAAACGTTTGCCGCGCCTGAAGCCGCCTGTTCACTACGCACTGTGTCCAACTGTGCGCCAATATGTTGCACGCCGGCACTGTAGCACGCTGCCTTTGTGTTGCATGCATCGACCTGTGAGTTGTGCGAGTTCTGCGTGTCGCCTTCGCTCGTGTAATTGGCAATGAAGTCGAAGTCCATCTCAGTTTTAACCACAATCTCGGGCGTATCCATCATTTCACCAATGTAAATGTGCTGAAACACTGCAGCAACAAACAGTTATGCGAAAAATCAATACACCACTAGCCGTTTGCTTTGCTGCAAGCGCGAAAGACTCGGTCTAAACACTTCTATTCATCACTAAAAAGCCAGCATGCACCGTGCGAAAGCCAAAATACTACTGCCAGCTTCTGTGCGACTTATCGATTGCTGCCGCACTGCCACCAACATGCCGCTACACCCTGGCTTCCCCGTATATGTATACGGAAATATATGTATGTATGTATATAAGAGCATAGTAACGCGCATGTGTGTGTGTGTGTATGAGAGTGTCTGCGTGTACAGCAACTAGAATTCAACAACAACCCAACGAAATAAACATATCTACATAAATAAATATGTTATGTGTATGTGTGCACAACAATAAAAAGCACGCAACCCAAGCCGAGTCAACCTCAGCCCAGCGCCCAATACCACACACACCACCCCCTGCCAACCACACCTCACCTCGCAAATATTTGTTTGTGTGCGCGCGCACTGATGCCTCGTATACTTTTTCGCTTTCATACGAAGCTTACTAACACGCCACCTGCTGCCTGCCCGTCAGCCCGCCAGCCAGCCAGCCAGCTTTGCTGTTAAACAAGCAACATCCAATGCTGCGTACATACATACATACGTATAATAGCTTACAATGCAGAGTGTGAGTGAGTACGGGCTTTGTGCGTTGGTGTTGGTGACAGCCTTTTGCACAGGCGCTTCTCGCTCCTGCTGCTGGCCTTCATACATACAGACACACGTTCACTTGTCGTCGTTGTTGTGTTTCGTTTTTGGTCTTGTGCTGCGCAGCAAGTGCCTCTGCGCAGCCAATGGATACATAACGGTCGTCTGTTGGTTGCTCGGCATAGGGCTGCCAACAGTTTGCAATTTCGTGTTGGTGGCTGAGGTGAATTGGAAGGGCATGCGATGCGCTGTGGCGTCTGCGAATGAGAGTGAAAAAGGAAATTTGCAAAAGTGTTGTGGTGTTGTAGTGTAGATTGTTGCTGGCATAAGCACATACATATGTACGTACATATGTGTGTGAACGTGAATGCCAGCAGACATATTTACATACATGCATACATGCATATGCACAGTTTACGCTTGTGGGCCGATATGTGCGCTGTTGTGTATCGAAACTTAGGCATTTTTTTGAGGTTTGATACAAAGCGCTTATGCTTACATACAGACACACATCCATGCAGACATGCAAACATACATATGTATGTGCATACTCGCATGCACTTAAATGCGCTTATTAAATATGTACAAAAATTGGCGTGGGAATTTGTGAAAATGCAAAGGGAGAATGTTTATTTTTATAAACGTGTTTGTAAATAAGCACAAAAACAATAATAAATTCATTACAAAAGAACTACAAAAGTGCAGATAACAAATTCAGCGAAACTGCAATATGTTTTGATTTTTATATCGGAGTCTATAATTGCTCAATGGTGAGTGAATTCACCAGAAAATATTTACAAACCATATAAGGTTATATAAATTAGAATTTACCGCATTTATAGACATACTTCATTGATTTTTTGATGTCAGCTGACTGGTTTTAATAAAAAAATGGTGCCCTATTTTCAATAAAACCTTGCGTCGCTGAATGGTTTTGGATATGCATATCATTAAAATTCAAGAACACACTCTACTCTATACGCCGAGGCCTCTAAAATTAAGCAAATAATTCGTCTATCATCCCATGCGACAATACCGCAAACAAACTCAAGAAAATTTACTGCCAAATTGCCTTACTGGTCTAACTTACTGACCACCCTACGAAAAAATAAACAAGCACTTTGGCATAAATACAAACAACACATGAGTGATACAAATCTTATTAAATATAAAAAAGCAAATGCTACGTTCAGAAAAGAGCTAAAATCAGCCAAAAGACTATCCCTTGAAAAACTCATCCTCAAGATAAATCCCTCCTCCAATCCAAAACAAATGTGGTCAGATATAAGAATGCTCACAGGTTCCACTTCCCGCACTCGTATCTCCTTTATATATAGCGATCAAGGACCACTCCATGAACCACATGATATTTCTGAACAATTCGGAAAAACATGGTCCTCCTACTCCCATGACTCCAACTTTCCTGATGCCTTCAATGTCCTAAAAAATCAAATCATTCAAGAAGATTATTCCAATCCATACCCTTCATCCTCTGCTTTCCTTATAGAAGTCCCGATAACTTTATCTGAATTTGAATCCACAATTTCAAGAATGACAGGAAAAACACCTGGTGTGGACAAAATTTCCTATCTCATCCTAAAAAATTTACCCTCTACCCTCAAAATCAGACTCATTAACCTTTACAATAATATCCTCGACTCCGGAATCTATCCCCAAGAATGGAAAACCGCTTTAGTCATCCCTATTCCAAAGCCAAATAAATCTTAAACGCTCATATCAAGTTTCAGAGCAATATCCCTTCTATCATGCATATCTAAAGTCCTGGAAAAAATTATCGGAGCGAGAATAATGTGTTACGCCAAGACGAACAATCTCCTTAGTCCCCATCAATTTGGTTTCCAAAAACCGGTGTCACTGAACCACTCTTATACTTCGAGCAGTTTGCTTCCACAGCATTAGCCAACAGTAACCATGTGTCAGTTCTCAACTTAGACTTCGAGATGGCGTTCGATAGAAGCGGAGCACATATCGTACTACGACAATTAAAGCGAGGGATAATTGGAAACAAAATTTACAAATTTGTAAAATCCTTTTTCACCAATCGGAAATTGCCAGCCTGTATTAATAATTATAAGTCCCAAATATACAGTCTTCATTTCCTCCAACTCGAAAGTAGAACATTTCACTTATGCCGATCACGTTTTAATTTTTACTAATTTAAATGATCTCGATGACGTTAATTGCACCTTCTTAAACATCCTACAAAATATAAATCAATGGGCAGAAACATCAGGTGCCAATATATCAGCAAGTAAATGTTCTACTTTCCAAATCTGCAGAAAACGCAGATGTTCTTTCCCTCCATTATCGCACTCCAGTACCAATATCCCGCACACTAATGTACTAAAAATTTTTGGCTTAACTTTTGATCATAAGCTAACGTATAAAGAACATTGTAGAGCTACTAGAGCAAGTTTACTACTAAGACTACACACACATACGCTTGTAAATATCACAAAAGCATTGATGTTATCAAAAATTGACTTTGGACTTTATATCTACGGACACTGTGCAAAAGCCAATATGAAGACGTACCACAACGCTGCGCGTAGAAGCATCCGTGCATTCCCAACATCGCCAACAATAGTTATCCTGGCAGAAGCGGGATTACCAGAAATCACGTCCAGAGTAAAACGTAATAGAATGATGCTGATTCCTAAACTTCTCCACTGTAAAAACCAAGTTTTATTCGAACAAGTCACAGCATCTCTAAAACAATCAAAAAAGACGAAATGTAGATTTTCCACCATAGAACGATGCATAAATCTATCAAATCAAATTAACATTATTGCAAGAGCCTCAAGCACACCAATTCCTGTTTGTCCACCATGTGTGAATCGCGAACCAGTTTTCATCACCAAATTACTACAGTATGCTAAAGGACTCACCTCACCGGATGAATACCAGCAACATTTTAACAAAATTACAGCACTACTCAAAAATGACTGGGAATTTATTTATACAGCTGGGTCCAAATCTGATACCAGTACAACGTTTGCAGTCACAAACCAACTTGGTGTCACTCGATATTCACAGCCGAAGCAGCTGCTTTACTTGAAGCGGTACTTTTTGCCCAAAATGGAAACAAATCTGTCATATGCAGCGATAGTAAATCTACTTTGGACGCCCTTATGACTTATGCAAATGGTACGCCCTTAGTTACAAATATCCGTAACGCTATATTTTCAAATAGAAAGAATATAAAAATCATGTGGGTGCCAGGCCATGCAGGAATCCACGGAAATGAATTAGCCGACAGCAGAGCGGAAGAGGTCAGTTTGGCGACATTACATCTATTTACGCAAGCTTGTGCATAGCTTTTTACACGAAAGCTACTTAACTGAATGGAACAGCTATCAACACCACTATAAATCGCACAGCTCTACAGGAATTAGATCATCGCTCTCGTCAAATATGTCTTGTCAAAGCATAAGAAGATTCACACGTCTACGGATTGGTCACACGCTAGCACACTTATTAAAAGAATCAGTGAAGCCTAACTGTCCTTTTTATGGTGCAAATGACCTAACTACAACACATTCTCTCGATAACTGTCAGGAACTGGATACACTTAGAACTTCAATATCTGCAGAAACAAAACCATCTGACATGCTACGAAATACAGACAACATGTCTATACAGAAAATTTCTGATTTCATACTAGCAGCTAAAATGAACGTATAGTCATTTTCAGTGTATTGAATTTAGCAATCTAAGATATAAAATAAAACATACACACAAGTCACACTAAACTCCTAATATCCTCCCATAACCACTCCACCACCTACTATAAATAAATACTCCCAACTTATATGTAGTAAAAATATATATATATATTATATAGTTTGTATATGTAGACGCC